AGTCTCCCTCTCTGACAGGAGTGTGTGGAACTAGGAACGTGTGACCTGTGTTCCCTTCTGTTTCTCACATAAGGACTCAGTTCCTCTGCACCCTCATAGCCTCCCCTCCTCCTTTCCCTTTGCCTTTTTTCTCTGCCTGGATTATCTCTAAACACCTTCCCTTTTCCTTCTCTTTATGCTACTTGGAGTATCATCTAAAACTGGAATAGCTCAACATTATAATCTTTCATGATAGATTTAATATTTTTTAACATAATGGTGGTTGTGATTTTCTCTTTTATATTTTTAGTCTTAACAGGTTTTGAAACTAATAACAAATATGAAATTAAGAACAGCCTTGGGCAGAGGATTTTCTTTGCAGCAGAAGATACTGATTGCTGTACCCGAAATTGCTGTGGGCCATCTAGGCCTTTTACCATGAGGATTGTTGATAATACAGGCCGAGAAGTCGTGACNTAAGTATCTATGTACTGGTATCTCAATAGGCAGATAATGTGCTCATATATTTAACTTTGGTAAGAGAGGTAGTTATTACTATGAGTTTAGTATTGATATGCCAATTTTAAAAAAGAGAGAGAAGCACAACTGTATAGTCAAACAAAAATAAGCAAAATACCTAACATTTAGATATGTTGGTTTCTGTATGGTGACATTGTTTCTTATCCATTCTAAATAAAACATTAACCTTGTCATGTAAGTCTGATTGCCAAAGCATATGGGTTCTTCCTTAATCTAAAATATAAGCTAACAGTGCTCTCAGCCATGTTCAGAAGTCTTAATATCTTTGAGCTTCAATGAAAAGTCCAGTTATGCAAAGATAGTTCTAAGAAAGTTATTATGATGTGTACTACCTAATCATGTGTCTCTATGGTCTCTCATCTATCCTGGTATTTAATTAAGTCATTGGAAACCACAACATACCTGTGTATTTACTACATAGTAGAATTTCATTACAGCAGTTTTTCAGCAGATGGCCTAGCCTCATAACTCAACTTTTTTAGTTTCAAATGTTTAAAAATTGGGACATTTTGCAATTTAATTTTGGTTCTTATTTCTCTTGGAAAATCAGAAAACCAGGTAAACTGTGCCCACCTTTTCACAAAAGGGACTGCTAAAGCTGAGCAAGCGTCCCCCTATAGTAAGACATGGGAACTCCACCACTGTCTCCACCACTCTCTGATGTTTCCCGTTAACCAGTGTTGCTGCTTTGTGTTGCTTCGCCCCCCATGGATTTGTCACCTCTCTTCCCCTGGGTGACGGTGATGCAAAGGATTACTCAAAGCNAGCAATTTCTCAGTATCTTTACATAACAATCAGTAATTAGTCTGTCCTTGAGCCAGCAACCATGCTGTGCCACAAATCTTTATCTTACACCAGAGACGTATAGCCTGAGGAAAATTTCCAGACCTTCACAAGGTCAATATTTGAAACTGTAAGACTTTGGAAAACCAGGCCCTGTGAGGTACATTTGCTTTAGAGTATATTCCACACAGTGTCATTCATTTACAAGATCTGTCTGCCTTCTCTAATCATATGGCTTTCAATTTCTCAGTTAGATCCTGACTATATAAAGATGAATTCTTCTCTTCAGTAACTTCATAGTTTAATAACAGAAATGGGCAATTCTAAGAAGTCACTCTTGATGTAGAGACTTTAAAAAGCCTCTTATAAAGGGATTTTTATACATTGTATGTATGAAGATTTTATATAGAGGTATGTATATTAGTAGTTCTCTATGTAGGGATGGCATACCTCTCGTTAGATCCAGAGGAATGAAAAGATACTTGGTCCTTCAAGGAACATTATTAACAGAAGCATAGGTTTTATTTTTGAAAAGATACATAAAAACACTGGAGAAACATTGTGAACTTTTTATATTTAATGATGCTAGGGAATTTAGATTTTATCCAGCAACCTCTCTCAAAGGATGCTTTCAGGCACCCATTACACGTAATGAATTATCCTCTCTCTTGTGCATCTAGAATGATGATTTCTAGGTACCTTTCTTGAGAGAATTGAGAAATAGTCACTTGAACCATTTTCTGTAGGGTAGACAATTGAGGTTTGACACCTTAAAGCAGGAATTATCAGTATGAGAATTACTATGGAACATGGACTTTACCGGAGTGTCAATGGGCATCGGAAATTGGAGTAAAAAAGAGATAAAAGCCTGATCCACGGGAAATTGCAGTAAAAAAGAGATAAAAGCCTGATCCACAACAGAGGCATTAGTCATTCTAAAGGAAGGAATAATTTAAGAGACATTTCATAGGTGTACTGAGTGAGACTGATTCATGGATTTGATGTTGAGTATGAAAGAAANAGGAATTATCAGTATGAGAATTACTATGGAACATGGACTTTACCGGAGTGTCAATGGGCATCGGAAATTGGAGTAAAAAAGAGATAAAAGCCTGATCCACAACAGAGGCATTAGTCATTCTAAAGGAAGGAATAATTTAAGAAACATTTCATAGGTGTACTGAGTGAGACTGATTCATGGATTTGATGTTGAGTATGAAAGAAAATTTGGAGACAATTCAGATGTCTTATTACACTGATGTCAGAAGTTTGAGAAGCTGAATGAATAATGATTCTACTGGTCATATTAAGATTCTTGGAGGTAAAACAGTTGATTTATGGGATTGTATTTGGATCAAAAATTGTATTTGGGTATTGATTTGTATTTGAGTATTGTTAGATTTCAGTTATGTAGAGAAAAAGTTGGGAGAGTTTTCAGCGTACAGATGGTAGTTGAAGCTGTAAGAAGATTATCTGAAGGGTGAGTAGGAGAGAGCCAAGCTGACCTTCCATCCCATGTAGATGATAAGGGAGTCTGTCTCCTTCCAGGACTTTTGGTAAAGGAAAAAATATGGCCATATGAAAGTGGTATTCTAAGTGAGTCCTGTCTGTGAGTTTGAGGTCTGAATTTATGCTACTGCTATGATTCAGAAATCTCAAAACATAGAAATTGTTCATTAGTGGTGATTTTGATGGCAGAATCAATGCAAAAGCATACTAGAAGCAAATGGATCACCAAAAGTATTCCTACACAAAACTCCCATCTTTACATAAGGGGAGTCAAAAATTGCATAATGCTTTAGGAACTATTCCACTCAAAACAAAAGTCAACAGATGAAACAAACTGCATATGATAGAACAATCTGCAAACAATCATAAAAGAAATACCTAAATAAACATTAAGGAGACAAAAGAAGAATATAAAAGACCATAAGGGAAAAATGAGACTATAAGTAAAGGACAGGAAGTTTTGAAAATTAGCTAAATAGAACCTCTAGAAATAAACGATTATTGATAAAACCTCATTAGAAAGGTTGAACTGCAAATTAGGTATAGGTGAAGGGAGCATCTGTAATCTGGATGATGCATATGAGGAAAATACAGAAAAAGAAAAAGAGATATATATTTGAAAGGGACAAATAAAGGACCATGAAAGCTAGAATAAACTGCTCTTGCATATGTCAAAGAGTTAAAAAATGAAACAAAACAAAATAAAACAAACAAAACAAAACACCACACAGGATGCATCAGGATAATATTCAAAGAAGGAAACAACTAAGAATTTTGCAGACTTGATGCCATAGATCCTCATATTCAGAAAATGCAAGTTGTTCTGCGTAAGAAAAAGCAACAATACCCAGCTACAACTTGGATTAACTGTAAACTTCATACTAATAAAGGAAATCTAAAAGAAGCAAGGAGGAGGGTGGAGGTTTTCTTTATTTTAATATGTAATTCCCTGCTTCTGCGTAAGAAAAAGCAACAATACCCAGCTACAACTTGGATTAACTGTAAACTTCATACTCATAAAGGAAATCTAAAAGAAGCAAGGAGGAGGGTGGAGGTTTTCTTTATTTTAATATGTAATTCCCTGCTAGAGAGTTTGAGTTAGTTTGTTCTAGATTTACTGGCTACTTGTGTTTGCTCTTCTTTTCATTGTCTATTCATATCCATTGTCTTTTCATCTATTGGATTACTTTTTTATTGTCATTTTATAAAAGTAACTTGTGTTTTAGAGAATTGATCTTACATCTGTCTTCTAATATGCAAATATTTCCCCAAACTACCCTTTGTTTTTAGGCTTTGTATGGAGTATTCGTACTTTTAATTTTATATGGTCAAATATAGCCCACTGATCGGTTTTTGCTGAACACTGAGCTTAATTTTTAATAGTATTTGATACTTAACTTTCTAAAAGGCAGAATACCATAATGGTCAAGAGTACAGAAACTAGAGCCAGAATGCCTGTGTTTAGAACCCATCCTTACAACATCTTATCTGTGTAACCTTAAACGAATTATTTAATTCAATTTTTTTCCATGAAAAACTTCTCTTTGCATCAGTTTTTTCACATGAAAATTAGGTATAATAACAGTACATATCTTGCAAGGTTGTTATGAGGATTAAATTACTTAATAATTGTAAGTCTTTTTATGTCTTGCATATACTGTTATATAAATGCTTCATTAGTAAATAAATAAAATATCTTACTAGCAACCACTGATATAATCATGTTACACTTTATTGTATTCCTTTGATGTGTACTAGAGTTCTATGTGTTACTGTCATATTTCAGTATTTTGCATTTATATTTACATTGTGAGATGAGCCTTCACTTTTCTTTTTAGAATATTTTGATCAATTATTGGTATCAAATTTATGGATTTAACAATTTAACATTCATATAATATCAATTTATTATTTCCACAGGCTGAAATTTTATTATAGGAATTTCCTGTTTTTAAAATGTTACCTAGAATTTAGCTAAAATATATCTAGTCCTGATGACTTCTCGGTTGTAGATCATTTACATATCTGATCCTTGCCATAAAAAATTATATTTTCTACTGCTTGCATAAATTTTGGTGAATTTTAAAATTTCTTGTAGTAGTAATAAAAAGGCAAGGTGTTAATATCCTTATTAGTGTAGTGTTGGGTTTATGGTTAATATCCTTATTAGTGTAGCATTGGGTTTACGGTGGCTGGTAAGTTGTCATCTGCATTTTTCATTTTTAAGAATATTTCAAGGTTAAAAAATAAAGTGTAAGCTTTTCATTACTAGCTTCAAATGCTTAGATGACAGCTATTAGCAGATAAAGTACTAACATGTATAAGAGAGGGTTTGTATTAGTCTGTTTTGCCATGGGAGTGTTGCATAACTCATAACCCATAAACCACAGTGGCTTAACATGACAAGCATTTATTCTTATGCTTATGGGTCTGCAGGTTGACTGTGTTTCATTGGATATTACTAGGCTCAGATAGATGACTCTGACTAAGGCTGCAGTTGGCCTCAGTTCTGATCCAGGTGTGTTTGTCCTAGGGCAGTAGCTGTTGCAGCTACCTGTATCATGCTATTCAAGATACTTATCACTAGAGAGCAAGAGCCAGGCCAAACCTCTCAGCCGTGTTTAGAGACACTACTCTTGTCATATCTC